AAGAGAGACTGTAGAAGATTTGAAGCATCTGGAAAATCGTATAAGGTTTCAGGCTTGCAACAAACTCCTAGCATTCATGAGCTGGCTCTGTTGAGGGACGTCCTGACAATACACAACAAATGCTAACTGCTGACCACTGCTCCCTTCTTATTTTTTAAACTACAAAGTCTTAATTCATGGATCAGTGGATTAATTTCTAATGTGTTTTTTACTGAGATGCAAAATTAGACGACTTGAGCAGAGGCGCAGCAACATGATACAATTCGTCTTAGAGCTGAGAGTGAGAGAGAGGTGAGATGTGAGAGCAGAGTGGAGAGAGTGAGAGAGAGAGTGAGAGAGAGTGAGAGAAGTAGAGAGTGAGTGAGAGGAGTGAGAAGGTGAGTGAGAGAGTGCAGAAGAGGTGAGTGAGAGAGTGAGAGAGAGTGAGAGAGAGGAGTGAGTGAGTGAGAAGAGAGTGAGAGAGAGTGCGAGAGAGAGTGAGAGAGAGTGAGAGAGAGTGAGTGAGCGAGAGTGAGTGAGAAGAGAGTGAGCAGAGAGTGAGAGAGAGAGTGACGTGAGAGAGTGAGTGAGAGAGAGTGAGTGAGAGAGAGTGAGTGAGAGAGAGGTGAGTGAGAGAGGAGTGAGAAAGCGTGAGATGAGTGAGGAGAGTGAGTGAGTGAGAGTGAAGAGGAGTGGAGTGAGTGAGATGAGTGAGAGAGAGTGAGCTGAGTGAAAGAGTGAGAGAGAGTGAGGTGGAGAGAAAAACAACAAAAACAAAAACAAAACAAAAAAGCATTCTGAAATAGGCACTACCAAAGCCATGGATCAAATTTAGGGTAGAATAAAAAATATGTCCACATAATACATACAAATTAATAAAAAATGATTAACTTTTTTTCTCTTTATAACTATATTTATATATATATATATATATATATAAATTACAGTTCATGGATGTTCAATGAAAGTTCAGTATCTGTATTTTTAGATTGATTGATTGATTTATTTTTGATTTCGGATGCGTCAACGGCTAATGTCATTAGTCCCGAAAGTGTAGTGTATATTTTGATCGCGGGGAGGCGACGGATCTTGTCCCGCCGGCTGTGATCTCTCGCCCTGTGGGGTAGTGTAGTGGATGGGAGTACGCGTTTAGAGGATAGGGCAAGGACGAGGAAGGAAAGACCATGACATGTGACAGGCAGGGCACCAATTATGCTCCGTCACTAATTTTGGCAAGAGCAGCATCGAATCAGAACCACTGTCAAAATTATTATTCAGATACTGAGGAATTTGCTGTAGCCGAAAGAGAAAGAGCAGATATACAAACGCAGTAAGGTAATAATGGTTTAGGCATTACTTTTTTCAATGGTCGTGTAAAAAATAGAGCTTTGTACACCTACGTGTGCGTAAACTTACTCTTTTCTGAAGACATCTTTGGGCTAAAAAGGCTTCTTTACACCGTGACTTCACGTCACAGTCCGAAAACTTTTTTGCATCGAGGTAGGAATTGTATATAACAATTTGTTTCGATAACCTTGAAGAGTAGAAATGATATAGCGATTGTATATACCAATTTGTTTCGATAACCCTGAAGAGTAAAGGTGAAAAAAATAACGTTTCGTGAAAGAAATATTTGCATACAACTGTAGAGAAAAATTGTGTAGGTATTTTGTTAGCGAAATGCTTGTTTCTTGTACGACCTCGAGTGTCTTTTCGACGCCCTATCGGTCTCGTGAAGGGAACCCTCAGTATCAATCGAGCAAACGCAATTATTTCGCGCACGTGACGTGACGATATCGCACTCAGATGGCGAATTAACGTGCGGTTTTGTTTCGACAACTCTGAAAAGTAGAGAAGGAAGAAAAAAAAAGTACTGCTTTGAAAACGGTGCATTTTGTGTGATCGAAAACAAGAGTACATTTCGTGAGCGAAATCATGGTTTCTTGCGCGGCCGAAAGGTTTTCTCTCGCCGAGGCTGTCAGGTCTAAGCAACTACCCCTCAAATGCCACCGATCGAGGAAAAAAAGTTATTTCATGCTCTCTTAATACAAGAAAAATTTCTACTTGTTGTGAAGTACTGGAAACACACACACGCGCACCCCAGCATACACGCATACACTCACATACGCGCATACACACGCACACATGCACACACACTCATACACACAAATCCATATACACACATCCATATCCACACATTCATACACACACACATCCACACATCCATACACACACACATCCACACATCCACACACATCCATACATCCACGCACACACTCATCCATACACACACATCCACACATCCTTACACACATACAGCCATACACACACATCCACACATCCATACACACACACAACCACACATCCATACACACACATTCACACATCCATACACATACACACATCCATTCACATACGTACACAGCCGCTCAATTGTTTGCCCATTGAAACCACTGACCTGCCTGCTCGACGACGATGATGCGGTAGTCGAGCTGCTGGCGCTGCAGGAACGGGTGCAGCGCGTGGAGCAGCGTGGCGAGGTGCGCGGCGCGGTCGCGGTACGGGATGATGATGGCGACGCGATGGCGCGCGAAGCACTTGGTGGGGCGCCACGCGCCGCCGGGCAGCAGCTCCGGGAAGCGCCGCTCCAGCTCCGCCAGCGGCGGCGCCTCCTCGCGCACGTGGTACGCGCCCTCTGCAACCCACGTGCACGTGTCGCAAGGAACAACCACAATCGAGTGGTGGTGGGCAAAAACTTTTTGACAAATTCTGAAGAGAAACTGCCTTAATGTTCACATACTGACTCGTACACATAGCGAAATGAAAATTACACTTGTCTTTAATCTACCTATTGTACGCGACGAACTACAGAAAAATGATGTCTTTCGAATTACTCTGGGCAAGACATACTCAACAAATGAAAACAGTAATTTGATAAGTTTCATAGTCGAGACGAAATTAATACCAATGGTCTATAATGAACTTCTGTCCGGCAACAGTGTATGCTCCCGTAGGAGCCCGCGTTCGTGGAGATTTCCAACCAGTTGCGCTGCCACTTCTTTCGACTCCCCCAACGTCGCTGACCGTTCACCTCGCTCTTCAGATAATGTCAAATAAAACATTTAAGGGTCCAACAATAAGAATAGTAGTTTATGCAATTAGTTTAAAATGTTAAGCTTTATTGCACGAGTACATGTTTTGAAAACGAGCGACTTTGGGAGCGATATTTGAAATTTGTTCGAATGTAATAAAGCAACATTATAAACGAGTTGCATACTATATTTTTGTGTACAAGAGCATTATACATTTACAAGAGAATCAAACTTAATTTTGCGAAACAAGTTCCCTGTGACGACTCGGGTATTTCACATCGTGCGAGTAAACGGTGGTCGGCTGTTCCGTTTAGTTCTACCTCCCTCCCGATTCTCTCGCTACGATTGGCTGAATGTGCGATGGCGCAATCATTCGTGACATAAAATATAATACGTCATCATTTGTGCCGTAAAATGCACGATTATGAACGATTTCTTGCAACAGAAAAAGTGTTCTTTTACAATGCTGGAATAAAATATATATATATATTATATATATATATTATATATATATATAATTATATATATATAAATATATTTGGTTCTTAGTTCCTGCACAGCTAATCAATTGGCACTGTTACATGCAACGCTTCTGCGAATATTTGTTGAGTATTATGGAACCACCGATTGATTATATCGAATATCTTCCCAACAGTTTCGCTAATCTTGTAAATTTCGCTTTAAATTTGCATTGACACACACACACACACACACAACTAACCTGTGTGTGTGTGTGTGCTTTGTGTGTGTGAGTGAGTGAGTGAGTGAGTGAGTGAGTGAGAGAGAGAGAGAGAGAGAAGAGAGAGAGAGAGAGAGAGAGAGAGAGAGAGAGAGAAGAGAGAGAGAGAGAAATAGTTGTTGTATATATATGCTTTCTCTCTCTCTTTCTCTCTCTCTCTCTCTCTCTCTCTCTCTCTCTTCTCTTCTCTCTCTTCTCCCCCACAACAACACACTCGTGTAGTTGCCGTGTGCGGCGAGCGAGCGCCTCACGAGTCGGGCGGGATGAGCGGCAGCGCTGCTGGCCGGGCGCCGGCCGGGCTCGGAGGCGGGCGCCCGCGGGGCCGGGGCCCGTCACGCGTCGGCGGGCGGCGCCGAGGCGGAGGCCGAGCCGACGGCGGACGCTTGCCCGGCGCTGAGCCGCGGGGGCGGCGTTCGGCCGGGCTCCGGGTGCTCGAAGAGCACGCCCGGGTGGCCGCGCCGCGCCGGGCCAGCGGCTAGCGCGCGGGAGCCGGCCCGAACGCGTTGATGGCGAACAGCGGCCCAGTGGCCGGGCCTCGAAAGATGGAGCTGCCGGTCAGAAACGAATAAGAAATCAATTTATCTCACACTGCATTGGGTGGCAGCTAATTACATAAGATAAGATAAATATCTAACAAGCTTCTATAACACAACATAACAATAATACAATAAAAAACAACAACAACAACAATATAAATACATAATATATATAATAATAATAACTATAATCATAATAAATAATAATAATAATAATAATAATACATATAAAATAAGGTCGGCCCGTGGTGTAGACGGTTGCAGCAGTAATTCTATGGCCGAGGAGGCTGGCCAGGTTGGAAGTCTGCGTAGACTGACGTATTGGTGATTGTCCCTTCACGCTATCATCATCACTTTCATCTCAAATCGCACTTCAAGGGCGTAACACTTGTTGTCATCCAAGATACAGCTGAAAAGCTGATCCTGGAGAATTACACACGTTAATCGTGTAGCGTGGTCAGTAATGGCCTATACGCCAATAATAATAATAATAATAATAATAATAATAATAATAATAATAACAACAATAATAATAACGATAATAACAACAATAACAATAATAATAACAACGATAATAACAACAATAACAGTAATAATAACAATAACAATAATAATAATAATATTCATTAGTTCCCAGACACGTAGAGCGAGAGGTGACTCAAGGCATCAACTGATGTCACTACTGCCTCTGACCAGGAGGTCCTAGGATTCGAATCCCGACCGTGCCAGAATTTTCAGCACCAGCTAGGTAGCTAGATCGAGTTCATCAAATGTCTGGAGGAGAATTCTAGCGGTCAGCTGCTCTGATCGATTACTTTTCCCGGGTTTTCTCCGACCAATACCAGGCGAATGCCGGAGCAATTCCTGTGATTATTTTACTCATGAAATTGAAACCAATAGTGTTTAACTATCCACATAGAATGGGCAGTTTAACTGTGCATATAGATCAGGGCGGTGTGTCTTAAAAAAATATTGCTTTTATTTATACGATTTTTCTTCTCGCTCTTCCCTACTGACCAATAATAAACTACGACTTGTATATATTAGGAGGCGGTATGTATCGACAGCTGTGTTGGTGTGCAATAAACCGAGTATGTACTACAACATAATCTCTTTGATGTTAACATAGCTTTCAGTTATTTTCAATATTTAGAATATTACATTTTCGAACTCCATAGGACATGATTTCATTCGTGGAATAGTCCTATTAAATACCACGCGAGCTTTGGAAATTCTCAGATAAATCCTCAACTCGCTTCGCGAGTTGGGGATTTATCGACAATTTCCAAAGCACTCCTGGTATTACCTATGAGATTCATCGTGAAAATCTTTGGGGAAAAGCATATTGCATTGAACTGAATGCATATTGCATTGAATTGATGACTTGCATTGCATTGCATTGCATTGAAGCGAAACTGCCACGTATTGCTTTATTCAAAGTAACACGGGGTGATCCTCCAAGGACGGAGGTGGGGTGGGGGGGCGAGATTTTCAAAACCAACATACGTATCAGGCTGCGTTCAAAGAGTCGACGATGTCAGAGATCCAAAAACGCAGTCGGAATCGAGAGATCTCAACGAAAAGAAGTTGAGAAAAAAAAGTCTTTCCGAAGAAACTGCAACTCCATTGAGTACTGCTTCAACACTCGTCAGATGTCTCCATTTGTCTAGGCAAAATTCTCTCAATTTCCGTAGAGAAAATAAGAGTTTGAACGCTAGAAATACATACTGGAGTATTTAAAAATATTTAAGAAATGTTTCCTGTAATACGTTTTCATTTTCCGACTTCCGATGTCAATTTTAATTTTAAAGACGTCTCTGATTCTTTTCTCTTCTTTGCGCTTTGATGATATTTCTGCTCTACAATTTTCCTTCAGTTGTCAATGACTGGCGCTCTCAATAATTAAATTCAAAACAATGAGATTCCTTGGCTGAAAGTTCATCATACATCAGCTTCTTTCGTAACGACTAAAATGGATCTGGAATTTAGAAATTATTACGTATTATGAAGCCAAAAGCAATTACCATGCAGCAACGATAATTAGTAAATTCTACACTTTTAAAAAATTACTAGAAGAAATTGATTTTCTATATTCAACACAATTGTTTTCTCTCAGAGGCCCTTCCTTTTCGAAAAATAAAAATCCACCCAACAAAAATAAACATAAGCAGTGAACGGAAGGCAAAGCTTGCCTTTGAACAAACGACTAAATCACAGTCTGCGACAGTAGAAAGGCAACATGGTCGAAGCGGATATCGTCTCGCAACCTTTCAGGCGAGTTATCGACGTGTCCTCGACTATTCAGGGAGCATTTCGGTTTCGTGAGGCGAGCTTCGACATGCAATGCACAAACCACGGCATGATTTGAGAGGCCGCGCTTTATAGTGGAGAGGTCCGTTAGTAATATGCATAGTTACGAAAATTATTGAGCTGCAGTAGAGAGGAAATATCTTATACAGTTGCAAATTGTACTCGCAGGCGAGAGTTGAAATCATTCAAACGATTTATATAAAAAAATGTGTTGAGACGTAGGCAATTCTATTTTTTGGGGGAAGTTTTAAGACTGAATCCAATGTGCAGTGTCCAAGGCGCTGGCCACACGACACGTTTGTTCCTAGCCACGACCGCACGTCTGGAACAGCCTGGTCTAAAATAAATTGCTGCCTCTACAGTAGTAATGCGACATCGGCAACAAAACATCGATGTGGCCGACCACCGATGTTGTCAAACATCAATATTCAAAATTAAAACATCGCTGCGACCAAAAATCATCGATGTTTTAAAGTCGATTTAGTTATCCCAAACATTCGATGTGTGCGCAATACAACTTAATTTGACAGTGGCCATGTATAATACTTTATTTTGAGTTAATTTTAATTATAAAGTTATAAAACGCCTTTCCATGTAAATAATAAAATAAAAGACAAAGGAAATATAAGATAATCTGAATCATCTCGGGCGAGCGATAGTGTGCTAGATGATAGTTGCGCAAAGTGAGTTATTATTTCATATTTTAACTTTTACAAAATTGTGATTATAAAAATTCTTCATCCATAAATAAAACATAAAAAGTAAAACCATCGAGCACAAAATATAGATGTTTGAAAAACATCGAATTTAATATATCGATGTTTTTACAGAAGCATCGATGTTTTCAAAACATCGACATCGATGTCGTATCCCTGCTCCACAGGCCTGCGGGGGAAGTTGGATTTTTGACTGATTTCGTTGATTGACGATTCCGGGCGAGTCAATAGCTAGGATCATTAGTACCGAAAGTGTAGTGCACGTTTTTCTCTGGACCTGGCAGTTATCCTCCCCCGTTTGATGGTGATATCCGGTGCCGACCTACAGTCGGCTAGGAGTTTTCCCCAACCAGGTATCTCCCACCAGCGGAACACCGCCCCAGCCGGGGCAAGCTCTCAACTCCTGACTGGTCTCCCGGTATGTGTGGTAGTGTAGTGTACTCTATAGTGCATGTAAGTGTGTGGGGGTGAGAATATGACAAGGACGAGGAAGGAAAGATAGCACGCAGTCGGGAGCCCGTCACCTGGGATACTCTTCCAGCATGCGCTTGATTTTGATCGGAATAAATCACGGAAAACTTCCGATCAGTGCAGCCGGTCGCTAGAATTCTGCTCCACACATGACGTTCAAGCTTCCGATAGGATGACATCGTAACAGCTGATTAAACATCAAGTGCCGTTATTAATAAATCGAAGTATAACTGGGCGCGTGGGCTCAACGACCGTAAACGTTAAAACGTTACGGTCGTTAAACCAACGTTAAAACGCCAGCATCTTTTTACTTTTACGGTCTTCGAGTGTACACATATCTTTTGTGTGAGAACTCTAGGGTTGTTTGTGTTCGGTTGTAGGACACGTGTGTCGGCTATTTACAGTAAAAAGAAAAGAAAAAAGTAGTGTTGCAGCCAGTCCAGTGATATCGTGAAAACTGTCCTTCTAAGCACAGAAGGAGTACCACAATGTTTTTTTTTTGTTGTTTTTTATACTTCTCCTCCAGACAGTGACTGTACTCGACCTAGCTGATAGGATCGAAAACGCTGCCACGGGGTCGGGAGTGGGATTCAATGAGTTGCCGGTCAGAGGCAGTGCGGTGGCGAAGACTCACCTGAAGGCGTACTGTAGCAGCAGCAGGGCGGCCACGAGCGCGAGCAGGAGCTTATAGCAGTGGGTGCGCGCCCACGCGCCGCTCTGGCCCGAGGAGGCCGCGCCGCCCGCCGCCGCCGCCGCGCCGCCCGCGCCCCCCCGGCCCGCCGCCGCCGCTCCCCGCCGCCGCCGCGCCGCCTCGCGGTAGCCCGCGCGCCGCCGCCGCCGCCTTCCCTGGGCCACGAGCCTGTCGTCCCGTCGAGTGTGGTGGTGGTGGCCCGCCACCACGGAGAAGAGGTGGCGCTGGATACGGGGGAGGAGGGAGGGCGTGGACGAAGGCGGAGGTGCAGGTGGAGGAGAGGAGGCGGGGCGGGGCCAGGTGGAGGTGGAGCCGTCGCCGCCCGCCGCCAAGAGGAGGCGAGCGGGGCCCCGCTCATGTCCCGGGCGGCGGCTCCCATGCGAGGGCGGACCTGGCGCACAGCAAAACACAACACAACTTCCTACTACTTCCGGCTTAGCGGCCCTTCCCACGGCGGGCGACCGCAGCGCGCTCTTGCACAGCCGCAGGTGCAGAGCACTTCCGACGCAGCCACCGCCGGGCCACGGGCCGCCACCGCGCCCCGCGTGGGAAGGGGTGGGTCTGGCTGGGGTAGGTTTCGCCGACCCTCCGGCGACGACGAACAAAGGGACCGGAGCAGGTAGAACGCTGCCGCTGCCGGGCCGCATGGGAAACGCTCGCATTTAAACTGTGTTCTGCTAGCGTGGTGCCGTGCCCCTCCTCCGCTTCGCGTAGCTGCCGCAGCAGCCGCCACCCGCTGCACGTGGGAAGGCCTCCATTCAAACCAAGACTGTGCTACGCGCCCGCGCTGCTGCGAAGCGCGCCGCGGCCGCGCCGTGGGAAGGGGCCCTAAAGCAGCGTGCTCGCTCGATTGCTACAACCAGCGCGCGGACTCTGCATGGCCCGTCCCCTTTTCATTGGTGCATTGCAGAATGTAGCTAACTTGTAAATGAAAGTTTATGAAGACTTTCCGGGTAATAAAAAATGTAAAGTTATTGGTTATATTTTGTCATTTTTCATTTTTAGTTTTTTGTTGACTTTGAGTCATTTTTACGTGATCTTTTCCATTTTAGTTTTAATTGTTGTTAAGAATGTTTCCTGAATTTGCAATGACTCACTCTAAAAAAAAGGATAAGATCATTCAATCATGACGAATTTCACTAAAGCAAGTGCGACTTTGCTTGAACAACCACAACTTTCGTACTCCGCTTAACAGCTGCTTGCCTCGATTGCTACAAAACCCAGCGTGCGGACTCTGATGGCCCGTCCTTTTCATTGGTGCATTTGCCAGATGTAGCTAACTTGTAAATGAAGTTTATGAAGACTTTCCGGTAATAAAAAAATGTAAAGTTATGGTTATTTTTGTCATTTTTCATTTTAGGTTGTTTTTTGCCTTTTTGATCATTTTTACGTATTTTTTTCCATTTTTGTGTTTTTTCTTTGTTCAACAATGTTTCTTGAATTTACAATGACTTACTAAAAAAGGATAAGATCATCAATTCATGACGAAATTCACGACAGCAATAGACTCTGCTTTTCGAACGATAATTTCACTATCTTCGGTAACTTCCTCGACCTTTCAAAACCGACGGTTGGGAGATCGGGGCTAAGGAGTACATTTTCTTTTAAATGAAGACAATATTAAACATAATTTTATATAAATACATTTCATTTAAAATTATAAAATTTCCTGAATAAGTTAACATTTCCATACCAATTTTTCAGTATTAAAAATAATTAGATAATTTCCCCTTATGTTTGAGTTTTTTAGGTCATTTTCCTCTAATTTTTAAGTATTTTATGGCTCATCACAATTCGAGCTCTGGCTATAACTCTCCGCCGTGCTCCCTACTCCATCTTTTTCCCCCCGCCGCCTTCTCAGCAGTGGCGGATCCAGGAGGGGGGAGTAGTTGGGGGGCCATGCCTCCACCCCAAAAAATGGTCTCGAGTTTCCGTTTGTTACCTTCTTTTATTTGGCAAAATTATTTAAATATTTATGTTTGAATTATGTTATTATTTTTAAAAAATAGTCGTATATATACACATATACACTACAAAAATAATATACAATATAATAACAAACGTTCATTACTTAACAAAAATCTATGATGGCCCCTTCCAAAATGATCGGCTGGATCCGGCCCTGCTCTCCATCACTGCATGGCATCCAAGCAAAGCAATATAACGAGAGCCCGGAAGTTTGGCACCTTTTTGTTACTACTGTTACTATTTCACGACTTTTGACAATAGGAATCACTTAATTGTTGAATTTTTTGCCTAAAATTGATACCAATTTTTGTCATTTTGTCTTATTTTTGCCTTTTTCTGCCTTTCACATCATTATCTTGCTTATTTCTTCTCCTAGAATCGAACTCGATCAAGTTGGATATGTACTTGGCACGCCTGGGCAACACGGTTTTGGTTTTGGCTTTGTGTGGAAGTAGACGCTACGTTAAAAATCTACATGAAAAAGAAAGATGTTACATATCAAGGTTTTTGACGTTTTCATTAATACCGACAGGTTTTGTTCACTCACAAAAAATCCCATTCTACCTGTGAGTAAGACCTCCGATCTCTTTTGAGGACAACTTTCTATTTAAGATATACCCTTCAAAGGGTTGGCGATTACGCAAGTGCGGAGAACGAAAAATATAATTTCACTTTTGACATTTCAAGATTCAAAAGGGAAATCACAATAGTATTCCGAAGAGGCATCGTGGGAAGTAAAACAAATTCTTATCCCTAATATACCGAATGACCACGGTAGAATTAAAATTGCAAGTACAAAGGAAATATCGTTTCCTTACGCGTCATGTGCTAGTGTAATGTTTAGAGTCGGAATAAAAATGTAAACCATTTTAATTATTAGTTTTTTTAAAAACAATTCCCTTGAAATTTGATTTTTCATTGTTGACATGACCTTTTGCTCTCCTTTAACTAGAATAAATGCCTTTTGAAATGCCTATTTTAGTAAAAATTAATGCCTTTTGGTCTGCCTTCCTGTGTGTACTGCCACAACAGGGTCTGACGGGGCCAAGGCCTATTAACGGCGTCCCGGCTTTGCGCCCATGGGTTAAAGGGTACGTGTGATTCACACAAACATCCCCACGTCGCACCGAATTCTAGTCCTCGTCCCGAACACTGAGCTTTCTCGCCTTCACACAGCAACAGAAACTGAGTCACTGCAAGGAAAGCGCGCACTGATCTGGGCTGTCCGGGTGACGCCGCGTCGAAGGCTGAGGTGCCGACGTTTCGACCGACAT